ACACCATTCCATCACAAGGCAGGGCACACCCTGGACAGGACACCATTCCATCACAAGGCAGGGCACACCCTGGACAGGACACCATTCCATCACAAATCAGGCACAGGCACACACTTACACCAGGGCCAAATTTTCCCAGAAGCTAATTAATTAAGTATGCCTTTAGACCATGGGAGCAAACCAGAGCACCTAGAGGAAACCCACACAAACACATAGAGAACATACAAACTCCACACAGACAGCACCCCAGGTCTGGGATTAAACCCAGGGCCACAGCAATGCTAATCAATGTGCCACCCCAACTGCAGAATTCCTTCATGGAAATCATAATCTCCCAGGAGGATACACACTGTACTTCTAAGCAGTACAAACATCATTAACATACACAAAGGAGTTGGGACCAAATTGAAATGCATTGATTCAATTTTTGAATGATTTTGAATGATTTTTTTCAATGATTCTGTCTTTTAGCATCAGGGAAATGGATCATATACAACAGTGTTTAAATACCTCCTGATTTTTTTCTATGTTAACTTAAATCAGTTAGAATATCTAAAAATATCTTGAGTGAATTATATACTTCACACATTTATTCTATTTATAGACCATTCAACTGCACTGTCCTTTGAAGTAAATTTCAATGGCAAATGACATCTCTCATGTTACACAGTAAACTGCAATCAGACATACCAGCTAGATTATAGCACAGCTAATAAGGCATGCCGTGAGGCACGGACACAGAAGGCGCATTTAGCTTGGATCAGACTGCTGTTTCTTACGCATTCTCCAAAAGCATTACTTACCTTGCTGATGTCCAGCATGTCTGTGAAGCTGAGGAGGGCCACAGGGATGTCAATCTCTTCATACTGGGTCCTGTTTCCTGCAGGGGGGGTCTGCAGAATATACACACAGGTGTCAGGGATGCAACATGAAATACCTGAACTCAGTAACTACATCTGAGAAGGGACAGACGCTCTAGTTCATTCTGCAAGGAGTCAAAGTGAATACTGTATTTTCCATTCGAGCCAGAATGAAGACATGCTTAAAAGAGACAGCTGAATACAGTATTCAGGATTCAGAAAGGCTGTGACAAAAAATTAACAGGAGAAAAATAGGATATGTGCAAATTCATAATATCAGCTTATGTCAGCCTAGTCTGAGGGTCTTTCCAAGTTACTCTTTTCAGAAGAAAAGAGCACGAATGACCACACTGACAGTCATAAGGAAGATCTGCTGGTACATAACAACTGCCACGTTCAGTTCAGTGCAGTTTATTTGTCATATGCACAAGTGCAATGCAGTGGTTATGTGCATGTCTGCTAAAAACAAAGACATTAAAGGAATCACCAAAAAATAAACACAGAACAGAAGTAGCAACAACACGTTAAATAACATACAACTTTAAAAAAAACCATCAGTGAGAGTCAGTGGTGGGGGTAGAGTTCAGTAATCTGAAAGCTTGTGGGAAAAAATTCTCTGAATCTGGAAGTTTCTGCTTTTATGCTCCTATAATGCTGACCAGAGTGAAGGGGAGAGAAAAATGAGAAACCAGGATGACTGGTATCCTTACGATACGTCCAGCCTTCCTGAGACAGCGAGTTGTAAAGATGTCCACAATAGAGGGGAGCTGTACTCCAGTGATGGACTGGGCTGACCTGACCACTCCCTGTAACGCCTTCTGGTCAGACAACGAGCTGCTGCCAAACGTGAGCACACTCTCAATAGCAATCCTGTAAAACGTGGTAAGGACAGTTCCAGGTCTGTGCAGCACTTCCGTGGTGGATGAAATGGGTCCCCTCATATATGAAAAATGCTTTTAGACTTGAGGTGCTATATAAATGCAAATGAATTATTTACCAGCTAATAAGAGTGTGCTTTGATTTCCTTCCAAAGTCCAAAAGACCTACTAGTAGATCCTCAGAAAATTAGCCCTGGTGTGAGTGTGTGTGTCTGTTTGTGCCCTGTGATGGACTGGAATCTTGTCTGGGGTGTATCCTGCTTTGTGCCAACTGTTTGTCAGGATAGGCTCCAGCTCCCCTGTGACCCTGTATTGGACAAAGCGGTTGGAAAACGGGTGGATGGACAGGAAGAGAGGGATAATCAGTGCCCAGCTGGCCACTCACCAGCCTGTCTTTGCTGACGATGAGCAGCCCCTTGGCCCCGTTGATCTGAGCCAGCCTGACCTTCTCATAGAAAGTGCAGTTCCCCCTAAGCACCATGGGAATGCGGTTGGGGAACCCACCTGCGGGCACCTCTGACGGGGAGCACAGCACAGAAGCAGTCAGGTCATGGATCTGGAGCCGGGACTGAAGAGTTTGAGAGCGACAGAAGAAAGTGGGAAAGAAGACTCCTTTATATTTGCCCAGAAGACCAACTTCAAGAGACACACAACAGCAAGGATTTTTTTCTTTTGGAAATGCTTGTCTTACGCTCACACATGAGGTGATCCTTTACGGAGCTCAGTAAAGTCTTGCACTCAGCTGGATGGGTGTGGCCCCACTGAAAAAACACTTTTTGTTCTCTTAGCATTCTGCCCTGGAAGCTGGAATTGTAGCACTTGTTTAAACAGGGCAAAACAAACAGTTCAGAGACACCTGGGCCCAGCAGTGCTATTAAACTAGAGTTCCTGTTTTTTTAGGCTGTAGACACAGTCCCTGCACTGGGGCAGGGCAGTGTGAGCCGCCGAGACAGGTAGCGTCCACAGACATGCTCTCACGCTCACACGACAGATGGGATCCTCATGTTACTGGGAGAGCAGTCTCTACCCCAAAGCCTTCAGGGATACTGCTGCTGCACAGTCTGGTACCTTTTCACCAGGCAAAAGCAGCCCCTGACAGGGTCTGAACCTGAGACACGGCTCTTGTGCCATTTTACCTTTTCATTAAAATTAATAATTCCCAAAAAAAAGGATTTGGCTGGGACTCGTTAGCATCACTGCAGTCTGGCCGGGGCTAGAAATTGCACAGAATCCATGAGAGACAGAACTCCCTTGCTAGCAGGGCTGTGCACCTTTCTCAGGTCAGTCAGCTCGGACTCCATCAGAGCACTGATCGGCATTTCACAAGGGTGAGTTCGAACCACTGCCTGCTTGCACACCCTGCACGCAGTTCAAAGGTGCCTGTGTAATTCCACCCATGTTGCCCAAAGACAAAGAAACTATAAAGCTTCCCAGAGGCGGGGGTCATTTATTTGCAGCAAAGTGTCTGCCTACCTATTAGTTGTAAGACGATATGTGTTTACCAGCATTGAACCACTTGAAACAATCACAGGCATGCAAACGAGCTTAACACTGAAGGAAGTGTGTGCCATTCTGTCCGAGTGGAGCTTGCACATTCCCCGACGTTTGTTGTGGTTTGTTTCCATGCAGGGGCGGTCTGACTGGGCTGATTCAACACGTGTGGCCCTGGGGGTCAACCCCTGGTGCCCGTGAGGAAAACCTCACCTCTGCGCCCCGCCCCTTCGAGGAGCAGCTGCAATACGGTCTGCCCGGAGAGCAGGGTCGCGAGAGGGGGGCCGCAGGCTGGGCGGCTGCAGAATTCCTGGACTCTACTCACCGCCTTGTTGAGATCCTGAGGTAGGTGTGCCCACTGGGAGTTGAACAGGATGCAGTAGTCCTTCCCTTTACTCTTCCCTCTCTCACTGACGTGCGCCATGCCATACTCCCCCAGCACCTGTGGCAACAACACTCGTAATCAGGTGCGTTTCCCAATGCATATTTGAATACTTCTGGGCCTTTTACTTGACTCTCCCCTCCCTAGGTGCCATGGCAGTAACTGTTCAGAAGGCACCAAGAGAACTAAGCACAGCAGCCCCGTTTTAGGAAGGTAGAGTGATGTAGTGGTTATTATTGCTGGGGTTCAATGCCAGATCTCGGGTGCCGTCTGTGTGGAGTTTGCATGCTCTTCCCACGTTTGCGTGGGTTTCCTCCAGGTGCTCCAGTTTCTTCTTACAGTCCACTGACATGGTGGGTTAACTGTCTTCTGGGAAATCTGGCCCCGTTGTGAGTGTGTGTGAGTGTGTGTGTGTGTCTGTCTGCCCTGTCATAGACTAGCATCCTGTGCAGGGTGTATCCTGCCTGGTGCCTGTTGCTTGCTGGGATAGGTTCCAGCTCCCCAGCGTCCCTGTACTGGATAAAGCAGTTAGAAAATTGATGGGTCTCAGTCATCCTGGGGCTGTGGGTGACTGCGGGGATCCCTACTGAAACAGTGTGGATAGATGCCTTTTCCCATTACCTACATGGAAAAGAGTATTCATGTTAAGCAACAACAAAACACTCACACTACTGCTCACAGTTATTACCCCGTATGACAAGTGAGTGGACGCCATTCGGTTCATCTGAATTTGGTTGTTAATGGCTAACTTATTCAAAGACCCTCTCCCAGGTGTTGCTAATTCAGGGTACCTCTTCAGCAACAAGGGTGCCAGCTTGCCTCCCCACAAGCCTTTGTGTAAAGAGGAGTCCCCCTGGTCACAGTTTTAAATGCACTGTCCTGTAGTTTCTCTTTGTATCCTCTTCTGAAGAAGGACGTTACTTTGACTCTGTCAGTGATTTTGAGGATTTTGTCTATTTTTTTTTTGGTCTGTCCCACAGCTCTTCGGTAATGAGGATTACTGTTCTGGGTACTGTATCCTATTGAATCAGTGTTCTGGGCGATACTCTGGCGATGTTTAGTCTCAGACGACCAACTCATGTACTTAAAAAAAATAATTCGCCCAGCAATAAAGTCTCTAATACCAACGTCTCATGGGATAGCTGAAAAACTAAATAGTCCATCGTTTTAAATTTCCAGGTTTCGGCGCTTTGAATGAATTCACAGGTCAGTGCGCCTCCCATCGCGATTTCTTTATAAACATTAAAATGGTCACTTTTCTTGGTTCCTTTTCTAGGACAACGCTAATAGCATGTTCGCTACATATTGATGTTAATTTTGTTTTTTTAACAGCCATTTTCAGTTCGGTTAACCACAAGGTTACAATCAAAATGCGGACGGTTTCTTTCTAACAAGGAAAAAAAAAGGAGCCGGTAACCACTGGAATTGAACTGCAGACTGCATATTGGCCGCTGTTTTGTGAATTAAACGTTCTTGTAGGGGGTTTTAACATGTTTGCCCTCGTCTTCATCTGGATCTAACGCGCAGTAAAGAAAAATCTTCTTTTTTCCCCCGGAACAGTGCTCAGCTCAGGTCCAGCTGATCCACATCTATCAACAGCAGCAGAGGTAACTGTTGTAGATGTTAGTTTATAGGAGAAGGAACCCAAAAACGTATTACATCGAGGAATTCTAGGTTCTGTACAAAGGAAGTATATACATTGAGGAGCTGAATGTAAAAATAATAATTATAAGAAGTGAAGCATCGCTTTTTTACACTCGCTTATCCATCAGAAGACTCATTACATGGGCCCATTAATTATAATAGCTACCAACCAGAATATCGCCCCCTTAGGTCGGATTTCAGCTATTTACTTAAAATCGTTAACGCTCGAAAGCCCTGCTTAATGCAATATGTACTACAGCGAATCGGAGATATTCAGTATCTCACCTGTTTTACCAATATAGCTCCGAAAATCAGGGCACTCAGGTCCCTCATGATGTCTGGCTGTTATTATGGTTTATCCCCGTCATAAGCCCAGTCCACCATCAGCTGTTTTGGAAGCTCCCGCCCTCGCCATACCGCAGCGCGACTTCATTGGGTCATTTCTGTTATGCGTACTCTCGGTCCGCAACACTATTGGTCAATAGTTCCATCAATCAAAAAGAAGCTCCCGCATAAAAAACGTAATTTGCTACTATCCCTGTCAATCAAACGTACCACTTCCTTGGGACTAGTCCACAATTTACCGCAAGGACTCTATGGTAGTGAATTCCATGCCTTGTTTCAATAACTGAAGCTTATTTAGTTATAGGGATATTTCTTACGTTACTATTTTAGTGTTTACGTGTACAGGTGTACGTTTGTTAGGAAACATTATGTAAAGAATAGTTCCTGAAACATGGAGTTTCCCCCAATCAAAGAGGTCAAAGTTTAAAGGTCGAAGGGAGGAGCTCACCCAATTGAAAGATGGCGGTGAGTATCGGTGAATGGTTTTCGTGTATGATTTGTGTAATATATGGTTATTTGTTCGGTATAGTCTCTAATTTCCACTGAAACTGTAAATTATTAAATCTAGTTTTTGTTTGTCTCTTTTAATGGTGAGGGGTATAGAAAGTTAGGCATTTTAAACATTAGAATTCCATTGTGTAAAAGAACCATTTTAATTTTAATTTTACCGGCTTCGTTTGACTGGTACTAACAAAATGTTTCTTTTCAAACGTTTTTTTAATGTAAAGTTATTGTAGACAACAGAAAAAACGATTTTATTCCTAGCTTTCCGAGTCTTAAGCCCTTGGATGTCCGACTGTTTAGCAAAGTTAACTGAAACGCTGGCGAGCTAGATCCCTGCGCCTGTACATGTTTTTCTGGAGGTATACAGAGCATGTTTTCACCTGCAGGAAAACCTGTGTTTGGCGTTGCATGAGTTGAATTCGTTTATTAGTCAGAGAGCAGTAACCAGGCCTCCAAAATAATGATTTTATTTAGAGAAAAATTGTCCATATCGTAAATAAAGCACGGTGAATGTCTTGATTAGCCGTTATTACTTCGTGGGCCGCTGTTCCGGGAATAACGAAGAACGATACAGTTAAAAAGACTTGTACTGTTCCGTTTAAAATACACGATGAGCAGTGGTTGGTCCGAAATGTGTGTATTGTCTCCCCAAAGTAGCCCTGAACTGTCCCTTTTTAACCCCACCTGTTAAAAACGTTAATGGTTTCAGGATAAAGAGAAGAAGAAGAAGGAGAGCATATTTGATTTGTCAAAGTACATCGACAAGACCATCCGTGTGAAGTTCCAGGGTGGACGAGAAGGTATGTTATAGGAAACTGTGTGTTTGTGTGGGCCTTTCTTCTTCATGCAAGAGTTCCTCCCAAACTCTGCAGTGCTCTTCTAGGTAGTGAATGAGCAGGTGGACCTGTTGGTCGTCTCCTCTCGGCTCTCCTTTGTCGAGTGGATCGACTGCAGAACGACTCACGGAGTGCCTTTTGCTTTTCTCTCTGGCAGCCAGTGGCATCCTGAAAGGGTTCGATCCGCTCTTGAACCTGGTATTGGACGGCACTATAGAGTACATGAGAGGTAGGTGCCAGTGCCTGAAGGCATAGTTCTTAAATTAAGGTCCAAAACCCCCTGCAGCTCTTAGCTTTGGTCTTTACCAGTCACAGCCTCCTAATAAGCCCCATCTCTGAACTGGCTTCATCACTCTGTTCTCCTCCCCACTGAGAGCTGGTGTGTGGGGAGCGGACTGGCGCACTCTGGCTGCCATTGCATTATCCAGGTGGGGCTGCACACTGGTGGTGGTGGAGGGGATCCCTATTACCTGTAAAGTGCTTTGGTTGGAGTGTCCAGAAAATCGCTATATAAGTGTAAGGGATTATTATTTTTGTTATTTTGTTATTTGTTGTTATTATTCAAGTTTTGAGGCATATGGGTTTTGTACAGACCTACAGGCTGGCAGTCTCGGAGGCAGCAGTATGCTGTGCTATAAATCCCTACAGAGGGAGTTCCATCTGGTCAGCTGCCTGGGTATGATGGCTTATGCCCAGGCAGACACTGTGCATGACTTGTGCTGGCGAGGCTCAGTCTGCCCTTACCCCTCCTTTGTTCCGTGTCGTCTGCAGACCCCGATGATCAGTACAAGCTGACGGAGGACACCAGGCAGCTGGGATTGGTGGTGTGCCGGGGAACATCTGTGGTCCTCATTTGCCCCCAAGACGGCATGGAGGCCATTCCCAATCCTTTCATCCAGCAGCAGGACGGCTAGAGGGGTACCCTGCTCCCCTTTCCTCTCCAATACCTGTGCACAAACCTTTCTGTACCCCCAAAGCGACATCATTGTTGTGGCCTCAGGAGAAGTAGTTAAAGCTTGCAAGTTTCCATGCAGTCTCTTAAACACCCTGCAGGTGGTGGTTACCCCCCGTCTTTTCCTGATCTCGTCTATCTCCCTCTGATAAAATGTCATCTCTCTGTACCAGGGATTCCCAATCCTAGTGCTGGTGTGTCCAGTGTCTTCTGACATTTCATCAATTTGGGCTTGCTGCTTCTTAATGGATCCCTTATCTAGGCTAGTTATTAGATGGATTATAGAGCATTTGTGCAGAATTATGACACTGGAGATCTAATGCTAATTACATTTTCTTAACTTCTAATTGGAACATCTTGGCAACTTAAAATTAGCAAATGTAGTCCATTTAAGGGTTTAAGTAGAAAACCGGAGAAGAAACTGTTGGAGACGGGTCACCAAGATTGAGATTTGGAAGCCCAGGTCTGAGCTTCTCTGAAACCTTGTGTTAAGGCTTTGCCTCTGTGCACTAGAAGACACGGTGAAGAGGGGAATGTGTGATCAGATGACAGAATCATGCTTTTCTGTGACTGCTGAATAATGTTTCAAATGTCGCTCTTCGGTGACTCCTATGGCAATCTTCAGTTTTCCTTTTTTTAATTTACAAATGAAATTGACTTCCTGAAATTGGAGCCTGCATGGCGATGGATGGAGATGGGGAAAGGAGGGTGTCGCAGATAAATGTAAATAAACCAACTAGTTTACATGCTTATTTTTATTTGGTTTATAAGTGCAGAGAGAAACGCCACTCTTCTGAATGCACTTACTTTTGTTTTTGTTATTTTCAGTGTGGTGAACAGTTATTCGGAGAGATTTCACTTGTGTTGTCTGTACTTGGGATATGTTGACAACAGCCTGTGGGGTTAATTGATTTTCTGATTTGAAAACTTTAAGATGTACATTGTACAGACTTTAAAAACACATTCTCTTTTTTTAATCGATACACCGGAGTGTGCTTGGTTTGATGTTTTTTAGCCGTTTAAGTTTATTTTAATGCTCTAAGATGAAACAGGGCTGTTCAATAAATGATCATTTTTCATAAAATGTTTGTGTTGCGTGATATATTGCTGTATGTGGAGTTTAGGTGTTCGTTGTTCTTGTTTTGCCTTTTTGTAAAATAGCACCCTAGGGGAGGTTGTGTTCAAGTTGTCATACCTTTCATCGGTTCTCTTGAGCAGTGTACATAACCTGGCAGTGTCATTGCTGTTGCATGCGTAGTTCTGCATGTCAGATGGAAGCCCCTTTCTTTTCTTGTCTGTTTTTGACAGGAAAGCACAGCAACGCTTACTGCTGTGCTACCGTGCTGCCCTCCGCGGTTCATGTTAATACAGGGTTCTGAATATTTCGAAGTCACCCGGAGAGCTTGTTTCATACTCCAAGGCCCTCCAGGTCTGGTGTGGGTTATATTTAGATGTTGTTTATCAAATAAAGCAGCTCCCCTGCAAGGCTGGTCAGCTGCCTGCCGGGGAAGTGGAGAAGATATAAATAATCCTCGGCAATGTATGCGTGTGTGACACCGAGGGAGAGCAGGGAGCAAGGTGGACAGCGCGATGACGGCCTGCGGTCAGCAGGAGCAAGAGGCCTGTGGCCTGAGCTCGCCCGCTGTTGCCCAGCAGGAAGTGGGCAGCGTGAGCCCTGCAAGTACGTGTGCGGTCCAGGAACCGGGGGAAGAGGCGGAGCCCGACACAGTGCTGCAAGTAGGATCCGAGGTCTTCCGGGTGGACCGGCAACAGCTCGCAGGCGTGAGCCCTTATTTTCGGGCCCTGTTCTACGGTGGGGGTCGAGAGAGCACGGAGGAACGAATCGAGATCCGGGGGGTGGGTTTGGCCGAGTTTCGAGCCCTCATGGGTTTTGTACAGACCTCCAGGCTGCCTCTGGACAGGCAGAACGTGCTGGGGATCCTGGAGACGGCCGACTTCCTGCAGCTGGAGAAGGCTAGAATGCTGTGCTGTAAGTTCCTGGAGCGGGAGCTCCATCTGAGTAACTGCCTGGGCATGATGGCTTACGCCTGGCAGCTTGGGTGTCTGGAGCTGTATCGGGCAGCCCGGGGCGTAGCTCTCACCCACCTGCCGGCCCTGGCGTGCGAGGAGGACTTCCTGTACCTCTCCAAGGAGAGCGTCGCCGACCTGCTGTCCAGCGACGACCTCTTCCTGCCCCGGGAGGACCTGGCGTTCGAGGTGATCCTGCGCTGGGCCACGGTCGACCCCAGCCGCGAGGCCGACTTCCTGGAGCTGGCGGGGCACGTGCGCCCCGAGTGCCTGACCCTCTCCTACCTCGGCGAGCTGCTGGCCAGCGTCAAGGGCTCGGACCCCAGGGCCCGGCTCATCTGCAAGCTGGACGCCCAGCCCCCTCCCAGGTGGACGGCTCTCGGCTCTGCGCCCCGTAAGAGGGCTCGGGAGACGCTCTTTGTGCTGGGGGGCCCCCATGACCGTGGCAAGCAAGCGCTGTACCAGTTCCATCCCCGTAGTGGCATGTGGCAGCCCTGTGCCCCCCTGCAGCGCAAGAACCTCACCCAGTACGCTGTGGGCGCTGTAGGTAATGGCCTTTGGTGCAGAACTGGTGAAGGGTTGGATGAGAGGCAGGGCGGCATGGTGGCTCTGTGTGTTGACCATTGCTGCTTTGCAGCGCTGGGGCCCAGAGTTCAACGTCCGTTCTGATCGTGGGCTGCTGTCAGCATGGGGTTTGTATGTTCTCCTCGTATTTGCATGGGTTTCTTCCCACAGCCCAAAGACATACAGTACTGGTAGGTTAATTGTCGTCTGGTGTGTGTCTGTGCGTCTGCCCTGTGATGGACTGGTGTCCTGTCCAGTGTGTATCCTGCCTTGTGCCCGTTGCTTGCCAGGCTAGGCCCTGGCTCCCTCAAAACCCCATATTATTAGAAAAAAGGATGAAATAGAGCCCCGTATTCATAGTCTTGGTGTTGTTGCAGACGCAGCCCCTCCCCACCAAGTATGATGATTGGCTGAAAGGGAGGCTGTTGTTGCTTGTGGCTGTGCAGCTGACTTTGCAAATTCCAGCAAGCATCCAGTGATTTGCTCGAATAAGAAAGAAAGTATGACATGAAAGTCTTTAAACGGTCCTGAAACAGCCGCTCAGTGCCTTCTTGTTTGGATTCACAGAGGTGGTCAGCAAATCTAGAGCTTGATATGAATGATGTCTCTATGGCAGTTTTTTTTAATTTGGGAAAATATGTATTGTAATTATAGGTTTTGGTCTGAACTGTGTGCTATTTAACCTAAAAAAAAAATCTTAAGATTATTCTTGTGTTAAAGATGCAAAGACTAATGCATAATATATATTGTAGTGCTACCTCCACTTGCCAGCAGCCGTATCGCCCTGCAGCTCACAACTGGCCGCCCACTGAAGCCTAGCAGCTGTGAGCCTGGCCAGTACCTGGATGGGAGACCTCCTGGGAAAAACTAAGACTGCTGCTGGAAGAGGTGTTAGTGGGGCCAGCAGGGGGCGCTCACCCTGCAGAGTATGTGGATCTTAATGCTCCAGTATAGTGACAGGGACACTAACCGAGGTCCTGACTCTCTCTGGTCAATAAAAATCCCAGGGTGTTCCTCAAAAAGAGTAGGGGTGTTACCCCAGGGTCCCGGCCAAATTTCCCCCTGGCCTTTACCAATCATGGCCTCCTAATAATCCCCAACTCTGAACTGGCCTCATCACTCTGCTCTCCTCCCCACTGAGAGCTGGTGTGTGGGGAGCGTACTGGAGCATTCTGGCTGCCATTGCATCATCAGGTAGGGCTTCACACTGGTGGTGGTGGAGGGGAGTCCCCATCGGCTGATGAGTGGAATGCTATATAATTGTAAGAAATTATCAATTACTTGTGCCTGCGCTTGTGGTTGTTTTCTTCCTGTCCTGCAGGGGGCAGTGTGGTGGTGACGGGGGGCTACTTCCTTGATGAGGTGGTGTGGTACAGTGTGGACTGGGTGCACGTGTTCCTCTGCGCCGAGGGCCGCTGGGTGGAGGGCCCCCCGCTGCTGAAGTCCCGGCACAGCCACTGCGCCGTGGGGCGGGGGGAGGAGCTGTTCGTCCTGGGGGGCAGCATGGACGCGGGGCCGGTGGCGGATGTGGAGAGGCTGCTGATGGGGGAGCCCAGCTGGCGGAGCTGCAGCCCCATGGTGCGGGCAGTGGAGAGGGCGGCGGCGGTCAGCATGGGCCCCTGTATCTATGTGGCCTGTGGCCTGGATGAGAATGGAGACGTGTACAGTGGCATCCAGAGGTACCATGTGCTGACTGACCAGTGGGATGTGGTCTCCTACTCACCCCTGCCAAGGTATGCCATGCCCCATGAGCCAGGGTGGCATTGACGCTTTTAGCCCCAAAACACCTTGTTCATTTCCAGCTACGGACACATGAGTTCTGCTCTTTTCACATTATGCTTTTCCTTCTTCGGGCAGAAACAAAAGGGGCTTCTTTAATCAAGGAGAGAAGGGGAAAAAAAAACCCTACCTCATTTATTTTAAACTGTGGCTTAAAAACAAGCTTGTGTCTTTTACAAATATCCTGCCTACCCTGGCGACTAGTCTGCAACAAAATAGCATTGCCCTCAGAGCTATTGCCTGATTACTCTTCCAGATGCAGTGCTGCCCATAAAGTGGTTCTAGCTGACTGCAAAAAGAAAATGGTGCATTGTTCTCTCTGCACACACTAACCACTTACCCAATGCTTCATAATGTTTGGATGATTTGGAAATATTTTTTTTTAAAAGACTTAAAGTGCTCTTAATAGGTCCTGGGCTTTGATTTCAGTTGTACTGTAATGTACTGTATAAAATGACTGCTGTTTTAACAAATACAAAGGAAATCAAGTCTAGAAATGAGCATAGTGAGACAACACCTTGCAGTCCATTTTACCTGAAATGACTGTTGCAGCAATTCATCATTAGTGAGGATGTGTTTTCCCAGGTACGATCTGTTGGCCACGGTACTCAACGGCGCCCTCTACCTGTTCGGAGGGAAGGCGCTGCGGCTGGACGTGGAGACGGACGAGTGGACAGTTCTGGAGGAGGTCTGCCTGGACAGGAAGTTCTACACGGGCTGCTCGGCGGTCACCGGGCAGGTGTACCTGCTGGGGGAGCGGAGGGGGAACCGGGCCCTGCCCAACATGGTGCTGCTGGACCCCTACACAGACACCTGCATGGAAATCGAGGACGCCCTGCCGTGCCCTCTGCCCATCCACGGCTGTGTCACTGTGAGAGTCACCGACTGACAAGAGCAGGGACAAGGGGACTTCAGAAGACGTCCATTACAGGTGTCCATTTCAGCGGCCAGTGAGGTCAGTCAAGCCGGTCCAGTAGTTCAAGTCAAAGTCTTGGCACCAGAAGTCTCTTGGTTGAACCTCAGACTCGGACACTGACCTTCTGTATGTTACCGGACATCTGCATTCAGATAAGATGCATTGTCAAATGCTGAGTGCCTGTGCGGAAGATAATGTATACTTCACCCCTTAGTTTTCTGAAGTCTATTATTTGTACTAGTTCTATCCTAAATAGCCAGTGTTTATCAATCAAAGTTTATTTATCAAATGCACAACAATACAGCATGCAGCAGTAGTTGCTGGCAATGAAATGTCTTTTCTACGAGCTCACCGTAGCTAAAATCATTTGGACTTCAGTTGGAGTCAGGGAGGCTAAAATGCCTCCTACTAAGTATTGTGTTGGCTTCAGAACGTCCTGTGCTCTGGAGACTCACTCAGGTGCAACACTTTGCATTTAAACACAAATAGCTTTTGGTTTCTTCCTACACCACCAGAGAAGGTTGCTACATGTGACGAGCTACACAGCTGTGTGAGTCTTTGACACCTCAGACACAGACAGGAGTTCTGATTTACTGTATGCGTCGTGAGCACCTGACAATTTACTCAAAGCCTCCAGTTGTTTTCTACTCTGATCACAACTTCGATTCTTTTGAATACAGATTCCTTGGGGTGAGAAGAAACCAAGCTTTTCATCTGATGGTGAATGTAGAATGAAACAAATTTAATTCATGCAGATCAAAATCTTTCCACCTGGATCACAAAGCAAGGGATACAGTACTTGAGCAGCCAATAAGAAGGGACAAAACAAAATGGACTGAAATTACAGCTGTTCCTCCACAAAGAAGGGATCACTGATTAAAAAGGGCAGTACAATGAAAACATTGGCACAGCAGTGTATAAATATGAGTCTGGTTGAGGACAGACTGTTCATGAAACACTTCAACATAGGGCTGTATAACCTAATCAGAAATAAAAGCACACAAAGATTGATTAAATGTCTTTATTAATATTAAGATGGTCACGAAGGCAACGTATATGCAGTGCTACAAACACAGATGAACGTGTATACGGCTTAGTTCCATCTGCACAGCTGACAGGCTGACTCGTATGTTATTGGCAGAATAAGAGTTCTCCCAGAGCCCTTTTATTAATAAATACGTAGTACATTTTGTACCATTTTCTTTCAGTCATACACATGTTTATGTGATTTTCAAAGTATCCTGGAAATGTATGGCAGGTTAACTTTTATGGAAACTGTTTTCTCAGTTCTGTGCAATCGCACTTGCAGTTTCAAACAAATAATGAAAAGATAAAATATGCTACATATTTAATACGAAAGGGTAATAGCCATACTAATGGCAATAAATGAGGGACTGGTTCAGACCAATTGTAGATCAGCACTGAACTGTAGGCATATCAATGCCATTCTCCTGGGTCAAAAACAGTCATTTCAGTCTCCCATATACTGTACATGCAATAATTTAAAATCACTTACGGAAACGCTCAGGTACTGAGGTCTGCAAGCATAGTAAAATCGACTCTGACCTATATCTGATATTTTGTGAAAGAAGATCGCTAATACCAGAACATCCATTAGCCCCTGCACAACTGGAACTCATTAAAGACGGACAGCAGTTCCAATTTCTTGTATTGGTTATTATATCTCGGTAACAAAATCTGACAGTATCACAAAATTTGACCAATTTCGAATTCATCACAAAATCATGAACTTTATGAAAGTCCTGTACAGTAGTCATGTGGTTGCAAACCTCTGGTTTCGCCACAGGCAAGAACGAGAGTTTGTGAGAATTGTGATGTGAAGTGTCCCTTCCTGCTCACTAGTCCCTGTGATGACTAATACAGTACAGGTTGTGCAGCAGACATTTCACTGCAGAGATGTTCCAACGTGATCTGCATGCAGAGTTAACAAGTAGTATTTGTTGGCAAAACTGTCTGGAAGTCAAGAGCAGTATTTCTATTGGATTAAAAACGGTGTATTCACAAGCCTGCTTGTTTACAATGTAATAGGGCTGCTTCACCTCACCGAAGTTTTGTAGCCTTGTTCTTAATCACAATCACTGCAATATGGTGCTTTGCCTACCTGGAAATTTTGTCTATTTTTTAGTGTAAATTGGAGGTTTTACACATTGCTGCGTACATTTAACTTTCATTCCGGTATGAAATGCGCTCATTAATGCTGATTCTTTCTAACCCTGACATATAAAAATAGCGTTGCAGTTCCCTCAAAAGATTCTGAGTTGATATAAAAAAAAAACAATGATATCCTACTGTTGTCCCTGCTCTAAAATGAGAAAAATGTTCTAGGAAATAAGGGAAAAACATTCTTTTGTAAAATAGTGCTCACGAAGTTTGAGGTCCTCTATGTTCTCTTCAAGGCCACATCAGCTAGCGGAATCTGAAATGCTGGGAAAATAATAAATTAAATGATCTGCTAGAATGAGGGAAGGGACAGTCCAACAACGTTTGTATGCAAAAATCCATTTTAAAACGTTTTTTTTTTGTGTGTGCAATGTCCCTGGACCTCAAAGTTATCACAGATTTGTGAGGGGTTGCCAAAGGTCATGAATGTGCTTCTATACTTGGTCGCAACAACAAAGCATGTTTCATTACTAGAGAAGAGAGGTTAAAATATCTGTTGTTTGCATCTGTGGTTTGCTAGGCTATGTCGTCTATGAATTCAGCATAGTACCCCAGTCCTCAATGAAGTAACACTGCTTCATATTGGCAGGGGACAGTGGTGATGCAATATGCCTGGAACTTCACTAGGGGGAGTGGGGTATGACCTGATCAGCCCTGAAGTGATATTGGATCACACAGGAGGAAAAAAACAAGATGAGCTATTTGAGTTTTGTTCTAAGAGCATGTCCATTAATAGAGCTATACAAATCATCTATGTTTACCTCATTTGATGAAGTTCTGAAATAGCTCTCAGCCATTTAAAAAAGGTCATCTACTCATGAACCCCAAACACACACTGAGCCTTGAGCTAAACCAATTGCCTAATTAAAGACGTTAGATTGATCCCTAAAATGAAATCAACTTGAAAGTCATTTTCTAAATGTTATAAAAAGGTGGTGGAAACAACAGACTATTATACCTCTACTTTTACCATGAGGTAGCCTTACACATGTTTGCAAACTTTATATTTTCTTCTAATATTAAATAGAAAGCTTTTCTGTGTTCAAAGATGGTGGACTTCACAGATGTGTTCACAGGCATGTAAAAATAACCTACTTAGAAAATCTTTTAGAACACAAGCAGTATAAATATACAGATTTATCTTTTTAGTCATATTAATCAGCACATAGTACACTGTCTTTTCCTTCAGTCATTGTTGACTACTTCATCTATGAAATTCCTTTCAGGTATTCACAATCTTAGCTGTGTTCATGGTTTCTAATTTGTTCAGCTGCCAAAAACTTTTTTTTTCACATCTTTCATTAATCTTTTTTAAACAAAATACAAAACTTAACAAAACGGCCACCTCAACCCAACAATAACCTAAACCCAACCCAAACAATGCAAAAATATTTCTGTATTGAGTGCTTTCTAAAGAAAAACAGAAAACAATCAGCCAGTATGGTCTTTGAATCCTTGTTGAACCTTCCTTATACGATATCAGAGATGACCTCCGTTAGTAAAGAACTGCCAGGAAACCTACAATTTCTGTTAGTATATCAGACTAAATAATCTGAAATTATGAACAGACCACCTCATGTGCATGTATAAGGAGAACAACAGGGTAAAATCCTTTTTAAAAAAACAAAATCAGCTAAAATACCCATTTGTCTAAAGAATTTCAAAATCAACTAAAATACCCATTTGTCTAATTACAGAATAGGTTCAGCCTCCCACCAGGTGAGGGCCTCAGCGCTATCGGGCTTTAGGCATTCTGCTGGCTGGGCTGCTCCTCTGATTGGTCAGGTTGTTGAGGACACAGCTGTCGGCCAGCGCCGTCAGCTTGGAGTCGAGGGCTCCCCTCCTCTCCTCCCACCACCTCTCGTCCCCCTCCCGCGCCCCTCCTTCCTCGCGGCCGTCGTCGCCGCTCTCCTCCTCCTCATCGCTGCGCTCGTCTCGTTCCACCTGCGGGACAGGAGTCCTCTTACTCGAAGGCCATCCCCCGCGCTCCATAGTATCCTCATCGCCAGTATCCTATCGCCCCTTCAGCCCTTGTAAAGCTAGCGTTTGTGAAGCGAGTTTGGCGAGCTAGCATGTTCTCTCATGATAAGAAACAGGGTGCACAATATCCTCCCTGTCTGGAAATAACAGGTTTGCTGGATAGGAAACACTCCCCCCTTCCAGAGATCTCGGAGGATGAGCAGGACTGGGAGTACTGGGAGGGGAGGCGCCCAAGCACACCCAGTCTGCTGCTGTAAAGAGGTGTGTTGCAGGACATCCTGACTCAGAATTCCCTGTGCAAACACTAAGAGGTGCCACTCTATAGATGAGCTGTTCAATCAAGGTCACTTCAATCAGCTTTGGGCCTGCTCAGTTTGCTCGATTGTCATATAACTATTTAAAACATCCCGCTTAATCAATAGAATTTTGCACCTGCCCACCTGAGCTGCTGTTGCAGGGTAGCATCTGGCTGTGCATCACCCAGGTGATGGCTTGGGATTCGTGGAAATCAATCAGGTCTACAAATGCAGGCCGGGCTGCGCACATGGTTAACAACAGGGTTCTTGTGCAATGCCAAGCTAGATCTGGGTGGCGGTGCCTACCTTGCCGAGGAAGACGAACTTGTAGACCATGCGCAGGATGAGCCAGGCCCAGAAGACGTGGAGCGCCTGCAGCACCAGCAGGAGGAAGTTGAAGAAGTAGTAGCCGAAGAAAGGCTGGAAGACCTCCATGGACAGGAAGAGAGTAGTGTGGATCACTCTAAGAACAGAAGGGAAGACAGTCTGCTTATTCATGTAGCCATGAACAGCATGATTAGGAACAGCAGCCTATAGCAACTTACAGAGGTTACCATTACACAAATACGGGTGCCAGTTTATAGCCTTGGGGTCTTCTGGAGGAATCTGGGTACAGTACCTTGCCTTAGGATAAAGCAGTTATGTCTCTACATTGGCTTTAAACCAACAGTCCAGAGATCTGACCATTGCTCTACACTAGAAATAATATCTTCAAACATACACAGAGCACAGAATGCACACTTGTAAACCATGTGCAGTGTTCAGTGCTTTTATGGTTTACTAGGAGTACAGGTATCAGTTTCGAAGTGTTGTTCTGCATATGCCGAAGCAAAAGCAGCATTTAGGATAGCAGGTTTTGTGCATAGATGCTGAAAGGGCACCGCATTCCTGAAGGTGATGAGGGGATGCTCTAAAATCGTAAGTACTAACTTGCAGGGGAACACCACAAGTCGAGAGACCAGAAATACCACCGCAAAAATGACAAACAGGGTGTCGCAGGTCTTTTTCCAGTTTGCGTAGTTAAACATCTTGGCGGACTGCGGAGAAAGCAGATACAGTGCAGAGTCACTACCACGATGCACCCCAACAACAAAAGCAGACGATGAAATCACACCGAGTGAAAGAGGGCAGCAGGTTCAGACAAATTCTCCCAGAGGATCTACCCTCTGTCAGTTTGTCTTCCAGCAACTGAGGGCAGCAGCTCATTACCCACAGCTTTATAGGGAATGTGGACCAGAGAAGGGCTGTCGTTTTGTCTGAACCTGTTGCCATCTTACAAGCGGTATAAGTAAGTACTATAGGAATATCAGTCTGATACTATGTTGCTTATACTGATACTGATCCACAATTAAGAGAGAGCAGAGCAAACAAGCAGGCCATTATTGGGGCCACTACTATGTTTGTAGAAGTGATTTGATGGAGTTTATTAGATCATTAGTAGCAACCCACCATGCAAGTTGGGCCAAATGTCAACCAGTCAAATGCACACATTGTTAAACAATACCAGCTATTGCCAAACCACCCAGATGACATTTAGCATTTACTGGTTCCAGCACAACATGTGTCCCCCAGGACACAGAAGTCATCTGGCTCAGATGAACTCACACCTGTTGTTATGAATGATTTATTGGCTTGCAGGGGAAAGGACAATTGTAGCTCTGTGGTAGCTTCAGTTATACCAATCAGTGAAATGCTACTGTTTTTTGGTTGTTTCCTTGTACTTTTAAATGAAAGGGAAACATCCGAGTTGATCAGAATTCAGTTCACACAGCGATGTCTTTATGTGATCTAGATATAGAAGCAGTTGCTAAGTGGATCCAGCAGGGCTTTTACAAAGTTGGATATAGCCCAAGCCAAAAATGAATAATCACACTGAAAGCTTAAAATAACACCTTTCACAAGTCCAAAGAACCCTAATTAAAATGGAATTATAGAAGCAAAATAAATTAGATTCTGTTCAGAGCTTAAACACACTGAGGGAAACACTACTGAAGCAACGACAGCTAATTACCTAAGGAGCTGCTACAAGGGTAACGACGAGGTAGAAGTTCGGTTCAGTGTATTGGTCATATGCACAAGTGCAATGAATGTTTGAGATCATGCATTAGGAACCTGATGCTTAAGCAATGCTGAGTATTACTAAGCATTAATTAATGCTTAACGGGAGCAGAAGGCAAGGTTAAGGTTAATTCTCCATCAAACCTGTGATAAAAACATTGTTCATCATTTTTGTCTGGGTAATGACGTGCTTGGGCTGACTTAACACATTAACCACACCAATATGCATTTATATAAAAGAGAGTGAGCACAGAGGTGACAAGAGTATGCAGACTGCTTACCAGTTTGGCAGGACCCCATTTAAACCGAAACGAAAAAAAGGATAAGAACGTTCTGCAGAGGGCAGGGAAAGTAAATAAGAGGAGTTAATCACCAGAAAAAGTGCCCGAGACCAGTGACCTCCCCCCCCCTCCCATTCACCTGCCCGTACTGCTCTTCATTTCCGTTCTGAACTGGGAGCAGTTGGCTGAAAGTGCGAGGCTGGGCTCACCTCCAGGAGGAAGTCGGAGGAGTCGTGGACCAGCATCACCAGAGCTCCTACGCGGATGTAGTTGGCGCAGTAGGAGAAGCTGATCAGGAAGATGGTCGCGATGTGGTGGATTACCTGCTCCTTAAAATCCTGGAAGAACAGAGAAAACAGCCCACCTGTAACTCGAGGCTCTCAAGACGAGGACAAGGTTAACCGCAGTGGGTGAGGTCCACAGTGCCGGCTTCTCTTGTTGAGGGTTTGAAAACTCTGAGTATTCCAAGCCATCGTACACTTTGTAACAGCTTTTATTTTTAAAAGTAGATGCATGAGCATTTAGGCAACTTTGATCTAAATCTAAATGCATATAAAGTGTGTTAATTACTATTCCCTCTCCGAATGAAGGGAATGGGGGGTTTGAGCATGACTTTGGCACACATACAGCAAGTCTGTGCCTTGGCTGTGCAGGTGGCACACAGGGATTGAAACTTCCTTCGGGAGGAAGGCAGCATGGTCAGAGTGAGCCGCCCCATTGCGCCCTATTACTGCAGTCCCTGCAGGGCTTAGGAGCCACACCAGCTGACTGACTGATTATCGGATTCGCACGCTCTTCCTGGCCACAGGTGTTACAGACCAGGAAGACAAGGGAAGGTCCCCCATCTCGTCACCGGGCGAAACCCAGCCTGCTCTGCTTCTGCGATGGATGACAGCTCCAGTTCTGCAGTCGCAGTGCTCCCCCAGGTATTGATTCTACCCCATGAGCAGTATGATCCTTTGCAGAGGTCTCCAGCTGTTGACTATATAAACCCTCCTGGTGAAACCTGAGCACCTGAGCATCTGCTGGGACCAGGAGCTGCACACCTGTGTTCCAAGGAAGACTGGGTCTTTGCAGGGAACTGCCAGTAGGTGGCACTGTTTCACTGGCCCGGAGATTCCAAACCAACAGCCCAGTTAAGTAAAGATAAGATCACTTTATTGGCCACATGCAATTTCTCGTATTAGGAATTTGTCTTTCTGCATACCCCAACTTGCTCTCCATGAGACACACAGACAGGGAGCGAAGCTTGGGTTCAGAGCGAAGGTTCAGCCATTTATACGGCGCCCCTGGAGCGGTTGGGGTTCAGGGCCTTGCTCAGGGGCCCAACAGAGTAGGATTCCTCTGCCGGCTGCGGGATACGAACCGGCAACCTTCCAGCCACAGGCGCAGATGCTGAGCCACAGGGCCACCGCTCCACCGCCCCGGAGCTATAAATCTACGGCCTTGGGAATCACACTTCAGTGAAGGGGTGGCCACTGTGCTAGAGGAGACAATGGTCGTTATGAGGCGAGAGTGCGTCTCGCGCTCAACAGGAGGGGCACCAGTAGTGTTTGGCAAAGATCACATGTAGGGGGTGGGGGATAAGGGAGGCAACTTACTTTCCTTTTGACATCCACAGAGATGCAGAGGAGTAGAGACCAGTAGAAGCCCAGCTCAATCATGTAGTACCAGTAATGGCAATTCAGCAAGGGCTGCAGAGCGAGAGAGAGAGGTCAAAGGGCTGAGTGAACTGCCAGCTGGAGGGAACACATAATCAGAAAAGGGAGAATTATTTTTGTACACAACACAACAGAGGAATTCATTAAATCCTTGCATATTCTGATTTCTGCTGTGAAGAAATTGTGCATGGGTGGCGACGTGGTGTCTGTACTAGAGCTGTAGCCTCACCATACCCATTGGGTCCTGGATGGTACTGAAGAGAAATAAACTCCCTGACCTCTTTATTCTTGAGCAGAGAAGACCCGATACGCAGATTTAAGCTCTTCCAAGGCACTGACAAAGTCAATCTTCAAAAGACAGCCTGAAAAACTCACCAGGGGTCACTAGTGAAAGTGCATTTACAACTGAAAACAGGAGCAAAGGCTTTGTGGGGTGTCTGGAACAAGATACCTGGGCCATGTGGTGGAATCTGAACCCTTGCGGGCTTTCAAGACACAGCTGGATGAGATCCTGGGATCAATTAACAACCAACTCCCAGACAGGTCAGAAGGGCCCCCCTCTCGATTGTAACCTGTGCTTATGTTCTTTTAATTTCAGAATGGAGAGAAAAACTGCCTCTGTCAGTTGTCCATACCTAGACTGTATCCGTCCTCTGTAATGCAGTCACAGTGAAAAGGCTGTGCTGATGTTTAGGACAGACGCTATATTGTTGGGGTTGTCACAGAATGAGACCCCAGCCCTGCCCCTCAAGCCCATAGGAAACAGAAACACTCCATTTCCTCTTGAAGTGGAATTCTGCTCAGGTCACCCACAAATAATCTTTTATTTGGGGTGGGCAGCGAGGCAGGGTAAGGGCTAAGGACGTGGGTGCAGGAAGACAGCTGGAAAAGGACAAAATAAATGCTCCCGAAATCAAGAAAATAATCAGAGACAGAGGGGCCAAGGGCAAGATTTCACCTACACTCACTTGCTGTAGCGAATGCTAGAGACCACAGACAGTTAAAATGCTCAAATGAGAAGCAAACAGATTTTCAGCATTACATGTCTGCACTAAAAGCAGGAATGAGTGCTGCAGTGCCAGTTTTTTATATTGGTTATATCTTCTAAAGGTCATTCTTTATCTGTGTGCATTAGTATTAGAAGCGTAACTGCGTGTCTCTCAATGGGCTTATACCAGGGTTCAGGACTGAGGAAGTCTCTGTGGGTTATTTCTGGCTGGTTTCAGGATTAGTGCAAACTCCTGCGTCACCTTCCTGACAATGAGGACACGCAGGAAATAAAAGCCAGTGTACAGCACTAGATCCCTGTGCATCTACAGTCTCTTCCATTTTTTTAGCAAAAAAACAACAA